AACAAATAAAGAATTTATATTTTAATACAGAATGAGAAATATTTTATTAAGTCAAATTATGTCATTAAATAATAATTTACAAAATTTGAGATTGAATAATATAAGTTTTAAAAATAATAAATTTAAAATTAATAATAATAAAGAAATAGATAATATATCTGAAGATTATTTGACTTTAAGTATGAATTTTTACTAAATTCTAGTAAATTTTTGGATAGTTATTTTATATGAATTTTATTATGAATTATAAATTATAGAATTTAATTTAATTTATTAAATATTATAATAAATGTACTGTTAAAATTTATAAAATTGATGTTAATTAAAATTGATGATGAAAAATTTGAGCTCTTTTGGAAATCTTTGTATACTATCAATAATATATTTGAATTATTAAATTAGTTTATTAATTTTGTGATATGTTAAAGATGTCATAAATTGTATAGATAGGATGATGTTCTTTATTTTTTAAAAAACAATTGACTATTGATTATAATATATATTTTTATTAAATTTTTAATTTGATAATAAAATAAAGAAAAACTTGCAATTCTTCATTGTTTATATAATCAGAATTATTAAATAGAAATGTAATTAATTAGTCCAATTTAGTTTTTTTATATTCTACTATTTGATATTAATTATTATAAATATATCAAAATCTGAATTTTAAATCTAATATTTGATATTGAATAGATTAATTAAGCATTGATAAACTTCCATATGATAGTTATAATAATAATATTTAGAAACCTTTTAAAGATAAAAATTCAGAATTATTTTTTAACAAAAAGATGTAAATTCATATTTAAAACTAATACTAAATACTAATTGTTTTCAATTATTTGATAATAAAATATATAGTATTAGAGTTATATATAAAACTATTGTAAATTTGTCATATAAATATGATTTAAGCATAAAAATATGTCAATTCTTGACAAATTACCAGGTCTTAGTGAATCAAGTTTACATCAAATAAATTATTATCTTTTTTTAATTTTTAACAAATTGATATAACTATAGCAAAAAAAAAAAACCAATTCAACTATTGTAAATAAAGAAAAAAAATAATTTAAGTGATCTTGATTTTGATTTCATATAATAATATAAAAAGTATGTGAATATATTTTAGTACTAGTATTATATCATAATTGTCAGAAGAATGTCAATTATGAAAATAATAATTATAATTTTGGTAATATAGGAGATATAAATGAATAATTTATATTAAAAGATTTAATAATATTTAAACGAATTCTATTGAATAGAGATATTATAATTCAAATATAGTATAACATTATTTTGTCAATGAGAATTATACTAGATGATCTGAATTCTTTCATCTATCTTATTAGTTATTGATCTTATATATTATCTTTTTTAGATATTGATAAATGACTTGTTAAATAAATATAGATTAAAAAAAGAATACTAACAAATAATATATTAAATCAAATAAAATAAATATAGAAATGTTTCAAGTATCATTAGATATTGATTAAATTTCAAGAAATGTAAATAGTAGCAAAGGATTTTTGAACTTTATTATCAATAAGTGAAAAAATTTCAATAAATTTTATCAAGATTTGTCAAATTTTAGTATATCAAATTTTAAGATAAAATTTATTAAATAAGGTTTACAAAAAATTAAATGCAATGATTAAACTAATAGAATGAAAATATAGAGAAGAAAATTTATTCTGAATTTTTATTTTTCATTATATTTATATGAATATATATTTTATTATAGACTATTGTATGTATTTTGATACTTTTTATTTGAGAGAATAAATAGTATATTATATATGTTTTTAAACAAATTTAATATTCAAAAGTAGGATTTTAACAAATTTTTAATCTAAGTTTATTATCTAATAGTTATTAAATATTGAATTTGAATTAATATAAAAATTAATAAATGGTTATTAAATTATTAGTTTAATTATGTGACTTGAAATTTTAAATAATCAATTAAATATTAGTTCAATTTCTGAACTAGATCAGTTTTTGATTGATGAATTATATTGATTTTTAAATAATATATATAATATTCATAAAATAATCATTAATGTTTCAAATATTTTCACGTAAAACCTTGTATTCAAAAAACTTAAATTTAGAAATATCTATCAAAATATTAAATTTATTAGTTGAATACTATGAAGTATCTTATAAAACTATGGACTTTTGAAAATTATTTATGAAAGATAATAAAAATTTGATAATTATTTCGAATAGAGTAGATCAATATAATAAATGTCAAATTGGAAATGAAATATTTGATTCTGTTATGTTCTCATGAAATATTAAGAACTTATTTATATTAGCTTGATTCATGAATTATAATGGAAGTATCAATTTTTATCTAAGTAAATTCAATTCTTTTTTACATATTCGATAAATCTTTTGAATAATATTATTGGATATCGATTGGCCTTTATTCAATAATACAAACTGATTAATTTAACAGAAAATAGATTTTATTTCAGATCTGAAAATAATACAAATAATAAATTGTGAAATATTAAATTTTTTTGTTTTCCAATTAATAGTTTGAAATAATTCAATTAGTTCAAATTTTCTTAACTTGTTGCTAAAGAAAATCTTATTCTTTCTATCTATATTTGCATCATTACTATTTTTTAAAATATATATACTAGTATAAATATCTTTTTTATTATTTTTGTCTTATTTTATTAGATATTATTTTTATTATATCTATTACAATTTATAACGAGAACTATAGATTATAGATCTATTAACTATATTAATTTAAGATGATGAAAAAAATTTTTTTTAAATAAAAAAATTTGTTATCAGAAAGTAGTTTTTTATTTGTTAACTAAAAATATAATTAAATTATTTAATCTTAAAAACTTAATTTTAAACTCCAATATTATATATTTACTATATTAATTTCAAAGCTTTAAAAACATTGTAATTAAGAGCAAAAGCATAATAAAAATATAATAAAGAATAAATATTTTATTAATGCATCGTTTTTTAAATTGGTTTAATATTATTTTTTTATTTTATTGTTGTAAATCATTTATCTAAATATATTCACATCTATAACTGTTACCAAATTACTTAGCTGCCAAAAATCATACATCATTTCCAAGACTACTATTATATGGATTATTTCTGCGTTAGTGATAATTTAAATGAAAGTTCACCGAAAAAACCGCGCACGCAATATCTATATAGAATCACTTACATTTAAATATCGAAACAAGTATTTATTGGTCATCATTTTGCTATGCGTCAGGTAAGATGTTATTGGGGATAACTATAAAGCTATCGATGTTCTTGCAAGGAAGTGTCGATGGTAACGTAAAACCATTGGCACATTAGTTAATCTAGTTATACAAAAAGAATGTTTTTAAAAAATGTACAGTATTCAAATTTTCGAATAACGGGAGTTATGATTTTCCCTCTATTGGAACACCCTTCAATTCAATCTTCATGTAATATGAAAATGATTTAATGAAAGAAATATTCAACTTCGCATCAATGCTGTATAAATCATCGATAAAGAAAAAACATTATAAGAATCAGACATCCAAACATCAGAAGAATCCTAGACAGAAAGGCCTGCACCGGTGATGGAGGTCCATTTGGTGGAGGGAATGTCTGCAAATGAATAGCAAAAAATTAAAATTTATGATATATAAACTTTAAAATAAATAGAATAAAAAATAAGAAATATTACAAATTGGGCGCTAAACAATGAAGGAAATATTGTACTAGCGGAGATTGAAAAATGTGGACCAAATGCTGTAGAGTGAAAAGAAGAAACAGGAAATAGATGGGCTCCTGGTTGGTTTGGATCACGTTGTGGTTGGGGTCTCTGGCCGGCAGGGCGACTTGGAATGTCTGCATTTATTCTAAATTAATGATGCAATAAATATGTGCACAATTTTATGGATACCCTTTCTTCAAACCATCATCAATTTCATTTACCTTGGATCTTTTGCCTCCTTTCCTCGCCCATATATTGGAATAACTTTGTCATGTCCACAACCCGCCTTACATACCGGACATAAAGGGTTTTGGGCTTGCGCCTCTAGCCACTTTATAATAAAAAACAATCGTTTAAAAAAAAAAAGGCAAAAAAAATTCATAAATTTACATTGAAAATTCCTAATTGCCTAACTTGATGAAGACATGGCCAACTTGATTTCGTCGTAGAATTGGTCATTAATAAATAATAGGGGTTAATAGGTGAATCGCAACTAAGATAACATATATCTGTTGCAAACATCTTCATGAGCCACTAACCAAAATAAATGTCCACAAAGTGTAAGAACAGGTGATGAAGCAGTATCAAAGCTAGTTGAATTTGTCATAGAAGCAAAAATAAATTCATCGAAATTACTGGATTATCTGTCGTTGAATCGTGTCCCTACCAAATATTACATTCGTATTCCGAGGCCCCGTTTATGGTTGCACTATTATTGGTATTCTTGGTGCCGCTACTGCCTTCTCCCGCTGAAGTTGAAGACGTCGATGACTCTGAGGAAGTATTCGTCGATTTTGATAATGTTGGTGGAACGGATAATGCTATACGGCGACGTCTTATACCAGGCGCGTCTTTTGAAAGCTGTGATTCTATGTTGCCGTTTTCACATTCCGCATTTTCAGTTTGTTGATTTACTGTGTTTGAATTGTCCTGTGTAAGTCCTCCTCGATCTTGGCCCATTATTTTATCATTATTAGTCGACTCCAATTGGTCATCACCACTGTTAGCTTTGTCATTCATTTCGAATATCTCGATCCTACTTTTATTATTTAAAACCAAATCAGAAATGTTAGTGGCTAATACGATTTTATGAATAATAATTTAACGTAACACAAACAAGTTTTCGAATATTTCACTTCGATGATATTATATTTCACGAGAATCATAATTTCGTGAGGAATTGAAAAATAAATAAAAAGTTGAGATATGTAACTAGGGTAAAATATGCAATAAATATTTTCTATTAGCATATTGAAAATTGTTTAAATGAATTCTTTTCCTATAAAGTGAAATATCCGAAAATTGAGATTTACAGGTTCTCATTTGACTGCACTCAATTATATCAATCATGTGGCGTTCATAACGAGGCGCAGATTATATCAGAGAAAAAAAAATTTATATAAAAATAGGTCTTATCAAAAAAAAACAATCTTTCCACCATTTTTCGATTTTTTTATCGATTTTTTTTTTTTTTTAAAAAAATTCTCATTTTATAGCCGTGCACCGCTGAACGGTATACAGCTCTCAAGAAATTTATTATTGTAACGACGGATCTTTGAGATGTTTTAGTCGGTTAAAATGCACCGAACATCGCAACCAAAATATAATTACGCTCAAGCTGCTGCGCAGCAAAAATCGAAGCAACAAAATCCTCACCATCAGAACCAACAACAACAACAGCAGCAGAAAGTTCAGCAAACCACTGGTACCTCACCTTCCAATAATTCCACTTCGTCCGTAAACGGAAAGCCATCACAAAAGCTTCAGCCACTTACTAACTCGACTTTAAGTAACGGTAACGCTGGGAGATCTGCGCCCGAAAACAAAGTGGCCCAACAAAGAAATCCAGTAACATTACCAGCGAAGGGACATCAGGGGGGAACGAATAGTATGTTCATGTTTTGTCCGACTCTTCGATTGATTTGATTAATAATTATCCAGTCAATTTACTCGGATGTCATTGTTTGCAGTTTCAATCCAGTTCGGATCAGTAAATCAACCATCGGCCAATCCACCACTATCGTCTTCACCAGTACAACCGTCCCTAGTAAGTGGAGGGAATAACCCTCCTCCACTTCCAAAAAGTGGTACTCCAACTTTTGGAACGGTAACTGTACGAAGTCCTTCGGAAGAGCTGGTGCGATTTATTTGCCTTATATTTAAGATATCAATGTGTATTTACTTGGATGTTTACTCTTTTTTTTTTTTTTTTTTTTTTTTTTTTTTCTATTCAGGTGCAACCAACGCCGACACAGCCAGCTTCTACACCTGCCAGCTCTGGATCTGTTACTGGAGCACCCAAGCCTTTATTAGCTACACGTATAAACAAAGAAATTCCTCGGACACAGTCTGCCCCACCGTTGCTTAATCTCCAAGATTCACCAAATGTAGGTCAACCCTCAGGTCATCAGATGAATAACATGACACCCCGTAATCAACAACAGCTGTCCGCGGCTACTCCTCCGCAACCAATTTCAACATCAAATCCTCCACATCATCGTAAGGATTCTGCTTCTTCAACAGTGTCCTCCAACGATGGTCAGCAAACGCAACCTTATCATCCTCATCAACCTCAACCGCATCACAATAATTATAGTCAGCAACATCCTCATTCACAATATCACAATCGGCATATACCGTCACACCACAAACCAGGTGGGATCGGCCCTGGGTCTGCAGCCACTTCATATCACCAGAGGTCGCGAGACAAGAGCGTTCCTGGCGCCATACCTCCCTCATCGCATTCGAATCCTCAGCCAATTCCTCAAGCTCAGATTCCAATGACTGGACCGCAGCCGACAATTCCAGTACAAATGTGGCCCTACAATCGCGTGCGTACATTTCTTAATATATCTTCCTTTTTTTTTTTTGGATTTCCCACCTGTTATTGATATATGAATATATTTATGTATATTTTTTTTTTTTACATTCTTCATTTAGTCTAATGAATATTATTACCCCAATTATTATCCGCATATGTATGTAATCCAAACAAGACCTACAATACCAATCCCGACTCATTTGCCTCCAACCGCTACTTCATACACACCTATGAAAAATCATGCTGTCCCAATTGTTAACCCTGTTAATGGATCAGTTGTAAATGCGCACCCTTCTTCCGTTTACCCTGGTGTGAGGAAGGAGGACGTCTCCGTGTCTACGGTCGTCGATGCCAAAAGGACCGAAGATGTGGATAAGGATAAGGAACAGACCCTCGATAACGACAAAAAAGAATCTAAAGCTGTTCCGATAGTTGATCCAGTTGATAAGGATAAAATAGAACGAGAAAGGAAAGAAAATGAGGAAAAGGAAAAAAAGGAACGTGAGGAGAAAGAGCGTAAAGAGCGAGAAGAAAAGGAAAGGTTGGAGAGAGAACGCGAAGCAAAAGAAAAGGAGAGAATAGAACGCGAAGAGAGGGAGCGAAAGGAACGTGAAGAAAGGGAACGCAAAGAACGCGAGGAAAGGGAACGTGAGGAAAGGGAACGCGAGGAGAAGGAGCGTAAAGAACGTGAGGAGAAGGAACGTAAGGAACGTGAGGAGAGGGAACGTAAGGAACGTGAGGAAAGGGAACGCAAGGAACGTGAGGAAAGGGAACGCGAGGAGAGAGAACGCAAGGAACGCGAGGAGAGGGAACGCAAGGAACGCGAGGAGAGGGAACGCAAGGAACGTGAAGAGAGGGAACGCAAGGAACGTGAAGAGAGGGAACGCGAGGAGAAGGAACGCAAGGAACGTGAGGAGAAAGAAAGGTTGGAAAAAGAGAGGTTAGAACGTGAAAAAAAAGAACGATTAGAACGTGAAGAGAGAGAACGATTAGAACGCGAAGAGAGAGAACGATTGGAGCGTGAAGCAGAGCAGAAAGAAAAAGAACAATTGGAGGCACAGGAAGAACGTAAAAGGATTGAGCGAGAAGAAGCTCTTAGAAAAGAGGAAACGGAACGCCAGATTTCCGAAAAAAAGAAAAAAGAGGTTGAAGAAGAGGAAAAGAAAAAGGAGATTGATAAGGATGCTAAGAAAGAGGAGAAGAAATACGGAAAAGGGCACAAACCTGAGGCTTTGGATTTGTCTCGCACCATCTCAGCACCTGCTTTAGGGAGTGGTCCACTTAGTAGTGCTCGTATTATCGACGACTTGAACTCTGTACAGTATCCGGCTCACATCAAGTCACCCAACCCAGAATTGAACGTTAATTCCGATCCAGGAAAATTCAAATACGATCGTAATTTCCTCATGCAATTCATGGAAGTTTGCAAAGAAAAACCGACAAATTTACCAACGTTAGACGCGGTTGGCATGGAAGAACCCAAAGATGATAAAAAAGGTGGTTCCAGGCCACGTCCTGGGAGCCAACGTACTTCGCAACACGCAAAGAGTGGCTCAGGTCAATCACAGTATTCTCAAATGGGAGAATTTAAATTGCAGAAGAGTGACGGATTCCCGGTCTCATCAAGTTATGGTTCTAGGACAGGTTTTGCAAGATCATCCCTTGGTCCTCGCACTGGTAGTGGAAGTATGTCATTGCCATCTAGTCTAGGAAATCCTCCGAGCCCAGTTCGAGCACAAAGTTCAATCCGACGGAAAAAACCTATTCACCAAGGTCAACCTGGTCAAAACATAGGACAAGAATCAGTGACACCCCTTGAAATTTCCGAAAATCGATGGATTCCAATGATGCATAAAACGATCGATGAACGCTTGCATCTAGAAACGGTGCAACGTAAAGTGAAGGCTCTTCTGAACAAATTGACTTTAGAGAAATTTGACAGAATATCGGACCAGATAATTGAGTTCGCCAATAGATCTAGAGAAGAGAGGGACGGATGTCTATTAAGAGAGGTTATCAGTCTCACGTTTGACAAATCATGCGATGAACCCAATTTCAGTCAAATGTACGCACAGCTTTGTCGTAAGATGATGGAAAAGGTGGACCCCGAAATAATAGACGAAAGCGTTAGAAATGCGGAAAACAAACCTGTTCAGGGTGGCGCGTTGTTCAGGAAATATCTACTGAATAGATGCCAGGAAAATTTTGAAAAGGGTTGGAAAGTCAACATTCCTGTCCCGTCTAATGAAAAAGGCGAACCGGATCTTATGTCAGACGAATATTATACTGCGGCGAAAGCAAAAAGACATGGACTCGGTCTTATACGTTTTATTGGTGAATTGTTCAAACTAAGTATGCTTACCGAGCGTATTATGCATGAATGCATAAAAAAACTATTGTCCAACAAGAATCCTGAAGAGGAGGAAATGGAAAGTTTGTGTAAACTATTGACTACAGTCGGACAGCAACTTGATCATGCTAATGCCAAAACGCATATGGATGCATATTTTTCCAGGATGGATGAAATGTCGAAAAACATGAAATTGAGCAGCCGTATAAGATTTATGATATTGGTAAGCTGATTGTGGAATTATTTTACTTCTGTATTCTCTGTCGAATAATAACATTATCACAGGACGTAATTGAATTGCGAAGTAATAATTGGGTGCCGAGACGTGATAACAATGCACCAAAAACTATTGCGGAAATTCATGAAGATGTAAGATTTGTTCGATATACTTGCAATACCTTATTTATATACATGTTATTTCGGTTTAATTCATCGTCACGTTGATTTACAGGCAGCCAAACAAAAAGAGGAAGCCGAATATATGCGGAGAACAACTAGTTCAGGTGGCCGAGGTAATTAACGATTTTTTACTTTCCTACCGTCACAAAGTTTAACCGACTTTTTTTGCTTGCAGGGTTGCCTAAAATAGCGGATCAAATGACCCGTGTCGGATCTGGTCGTCGTGATAAGGGATCAGGGTCGCACGGTGCCGGTGGACAACAAGCCGAGGCTGGTTGGAACATGGTAGGCGGTGGATCATCGTCGGCATCACGAAAAACCGGTGATCTGTCAAAGTTTGGATCGGTGCGTAGCAAGGTCTCCGGAAATGTTAATCTTGCTCCGGGTGGAGGAGCTTTTGGCGCAAAATGGAAAACAGATAACAAAGATCGCGATGATAAGAGTTCGGTCATGGCCCGTGGAAATTCAGCGTCGAATACATATAGTGTGCTAACTAACGCTGATCCCGAAATTCGTAAGTCCAGTGATGGGGAAAGGAAAAAGTTGCAGCTTGCACCACCATCAAAGAGTATACATGAAGATAGTATTGCTCCTAAGTCGATTATGACGAAACCTTCATCGGTACCCTTAACGGTAGAAACAGCAAATAAGAAAATTGATAATATGATCGAAGAATATTTTACAGCATTAGATTTAAGAGTAAGTGTGATTTTGAATGTCATGTTTAAGCCGCCGTCGTCTTAGAGACGCCTGAATGATTTCTCGATCATTTTGTAGGAGTTAATTTATTGTATAAATGAATTACCCAAGGAATATCACTCAAAGGCAATTTCAGAGTTTGCCAATAAAGTTATTGAAAAGAAAGAGGATGATGTACGTAAAGTCGTCGGGGTGTTTAAAAAACTTTCAACGGAGGGTATAATATCCAAATCAGTGTTTATGGAAGGGCTTCCATTTACAATGGAATTTTTGACAGAAATTAGCACCGACGCACCAAAATCTTATACTTATGTTGGACAATTGCTTTATGGTTCTTCGATCGAGCTAAAGGAAGTTGCGGAACTGCTAAAACCTTTGTTTGATATTGAGGATGTCAAGGGCGTAGAAAAGGTGATGGCGGGATACTTGGAAGAATGGAAAAATGTATCGGTAAATATTTAACTTTGTTCTTAATTAAACCGATAAAATGCAATAAAACTTACATCCTGATTTGTGATTTCTTTAAGGAGGAACAGGTGATTGTGCAAAAGGTGAAGGACACCGGCTTTGACTTTAAGTCATCGGTATTTCCACAAAAAAACATTAATGAGATAAATAAATTCCTCGACGATCATGCAAGTATAAAATTCCCTTTGTTTTTACATCTGATATGCGCTCTTAATCTTTTTTTTTTTTTTCTAAAACACTTTAGGGACTTGGGTCATTAAAGAAATAAAATCTTGAAGGGAACGTTCTATATATAATATATATATATTTTTTCTTTACATGTTAACCGTTAATGAACATTTATTTTAAATATCCTACCTTTAGAATTTTTTTTTTTTTAATTTCAATTTTTTTTTTCGTACAAAAAAATTATCATACACTGTGTACATTTTTTCACCTTCCAAACCACCACCCCACTAATTTCTGATGTCGGAGGACGTATATGAAATTCCTTGCCTCCATTGTACATTTTTTTCCTTTAATATTACATGTCAATCGATAAAAAACGAAAAAACTATGGTTTCTGTTTCTTTTTGGATACATTCCAGCTTAGAAATAGTTCAGAGGAATGGAGATATTATAAATTCATTACATGCATGAACTTTTTTTTTATTCTTATTTAATTATTTGGACATCTGCCAAACGACTAATTAAACCTGTGTAGAACTCGATACCCTCAAGAAACAAATTTTCGTTAATATATTCATTATTATCATGTAACAAAATCGGTGTATTTTTTAAGTAGGATACACCTAATGCTGGAATGCCTAATTTACGAAGATATCTGGAGTCGGTTGCCGCCGGAAAAATTTCCGGCTCAATGTTAATATTCCTATAAAGTGTGGAATATTAGAAGATAGATATTTTCTGTGGTATAGAAGGATTATGCGACCTTTAACCTACCGGTCCCTGCAGAAATCACGAAAAGTGACCCACCAAATATTATCTTCACCCAGTGACGTGCAACTGTTGTCATCATGATACTGGACAAACTCTAGTTTTGAACTATAGATGACGAGATGACTTCAGAACACACAAAAAAAAAAAAATAAATAAAATAAAATAAAATAAAAAAACTTACTCTGATTCCGAATACACATATCCCTCTATCAAAGCCTTGAACAGCGGCATGTCTACATTTGGAGACACCCTAATGTCAAAGCCAGCCTTTGCTTCTTGTGGAATAACATTATGTTGAACGCCAGTCTATTGTATTGTTTAACCAATTAATTTAATTTTTTTTAAAAAAAAAAAAAAAAAAAAAAAAAAAAAAAAAAAAAAAAAAAAAATTTTTCACATAAATTTGACATACTTGTAGTATAGTGAGGTTAACACTTGTCACGTCACCAAGGCTGTACTTCCTACCATCGGGACGTACACCGATTAATAATTGACGTTCTTGGGAATCACGAAACTCCATAAACTTATTGATTATGCGATGCTAAAATGCCAATACGCAATTATTTCTCATTTGATATTTCGTGTGCAAAGAAAAATAAAATTTATGACGCAGACGAACCAATTTGGAAACGGCGGTATTTTGAATTAGTTGGGAACCATGTCCAACGTTTCCCCGGGTGGTAACATCAATCCACCAAGGTGCCCTTTCGCCGTAAAATACCTTTAATGCATCACCTGGATTTGCAATACCTTCATCTAGAGCGAATCCGACATTCAATTTTTTAAAATCCTCAGATTCGACAAAACGACCCATGCCATCTTCTCCACCGATCTCCTCGTCTATTTTGAAAGGATCAAGCTTGTAATTTAATCCAAGTGATAATTATTTGGTACGACCGAAAATAAACAATACCAGGAACGTATGATAGATGGACTGTTCGACACAGCTGCTTGTTTTGATCCTTAAGACGTCGAATGACCTCGAGATAACTAGCACCAACGCATTTCATGTCTTGAGCACCTCTGGCAAAGATGTCTCCATTTTCAGATTTACATGCCGCAAATGGTTTATAACTCCAATTTTCCTTATTTTTTAATGTAAATAAGTTTAACGGAGAAGAGCAAGAACGTAGCAAGGAATTTCCATTACCTCAAAAACCGGGACAACGTCTGTGTGAGAATTCAATAGAATTGAGGACAAACCTGGGTCACGACCCTCCAATGTCAGTAAGACCACTGGCTTGCCCTTAACATACTGTTCGCAAAGAAGGCAAGCAGTTAGCAACCATTGTTGGTACATAAAGGTCCGCCCGTATTTACCTCGAACGTTTGTGCCTTCAAACCTATTTCTTTCGCCTGTTCTAACAAGAATTTTGTGCAGGACTCATAATCGGGGTTTGGTTGGACGGTCTTACAACGTAGGTATTGCCTAAAACGTGTAACAGCCGGGTTTTCGGGGGTTGCCATTTATTACAAAGTCTAGAATGACAAAGCTACGAATTTTTCGTGATTAAAGCGCGGCAAGTCAAGCTTACCAACAAAATTAAGATAATCTCAAATAATTTTGGTTTAAGGCGAAAGTCTCAGCCCTGATATGTATGGAAAATCAAGCATCTAAAAAAGGATTTTTTAATTAATAAACTTGGTTTACTCTTCTACTTTATTATTTATTATTTATTTATTTATTGACTCGAACTAATATAATAAATTAATTAAATTCAAGTTTGAATTTACGGTTGCTTCTAAAAGTTTGAGTCCACTTACTATACAGTCAAAAATTATAAAATTTATATATATTATATTTTAATACTTACTCTATTTTTTGTATTTTTTTAAAAAATTTTTTATTAATATATTATAAAGTTTTATTATTGCTAAATATCTTTAATTATCATATGATTTACGATAACAGCCAATCAAAATCTTTCAAAAGTAAAAATTTGATAAAGAAAAAAATTTTTGAATAATAAATAAAACTAGTATTAATATATAATATATATGAATTTTATAATTTTTGGTTGTATAATTAAGGATTTAAAATTGTCAAAGTTGAAATTTATAATAAAAACATAGTAAGTGGATTCAAACTTTTGGAAGCAACTGTATGTTTCGAATGGTATTATTTAAAAGAAAGTGACAAAATTTATTTTATTGTAAATAACAATTCTTTCTATTAATTCTTTGACCAGATATATAAAAGATGTTCACCTAAAAACTATTTAAAAAATATTTTCAAAAATCTTTATTATTTTTTTCTTCTTTTTTACAAATTTTTTTGATTCAAAAACTTGATTTATAATAGTAAATATTTTTTACTAATAACCTAATAACAAAAAAGTTTTTAAAAAATTTTTATTTTTTGTTTTATTAACTATTCATGTTCTTTTAAAGCTTTTATTTTCATAATTTTTTAAAAATTTTATTTACTATAATTTAAATTTAAATTTTTAAATAAACAATTTTTATTTTATTTTTTTTTTTTTTATTATCTTCTATCAGATTAATTATATGTGCTTTATTAAACATTAGTATACTATACATGTGAAATGAGTCACTAAAGCTAAATCTCTAATTAGCTCACTTGTTTTGATTATTATCACTCTAAGTATAACTTTAAAAGTAATTTATTGCTTCATTAGTAACTCAAATGAAAATCCTTCCAACTACTAATTTCATTGCCTGCAGATCATTATTGTAGATCCTTCTTGTGGATTCTAATAGAAGTTAAAACCCTATCTTATTTCATACTTTACTTTTTTTAGAAAGGTTTATTTTAGATTCTCATCTTCAAATTTTTCTTCTTTTTATAAGAACTTTTTTATAATTGTGATTTTGTTATTCTGATTTAAAAAACTGACTAACCTTCTTATTTTATCTTCTTTATAAAATCCTTGTGCTTGTTTTCACTCAATTATTCTTGAATATCTTTTATTTCAGATCTTCTTTCAAAATTGATTGCAAACCTTCTTCTATATTTTTATTATTCATTTTTGGGCTTTTTTTATCTATTCTTTTCTGGCAATATTTTAAATTTGATATTTTTAATATCTGATTATTTCATATTAGTTTCATGTAGAAATTTAATATGTTTTTACCTATTTTTACAATCTCTTTTATAAGCCTGGCTATATATTTATTCAATTCTCTTAATTCTACTTTGTCTTTAATTAGAAGCCTTATTTCTTTCTCTTTTATTTCTTTTTTTCTCTCATGCAAAAATTTTCAAAAGTTTTTTAAAATGATTTCAATTTCTTTGTTTCATATTTTTTATTATTTGACTTTATATGTTAAGCATTCTAATAAATATTTTATTGTTTTTATTTACTATCTATATATTATATACCTTACTTGTTTATATAAATATGATCTTCTTATGGTTAATTTGAGAAGTATTGATAACTCTTTATTTATTAATCTAATAAGAAAACTTTTTTATTAAGAATTTTTAAAGTAGGTGTTCCAAGTGTATCCATTTTTTATTCTTTTTTATATAAAATCCCATATGTAAAGATGAGTTCCTAAAGGGAGAGACAAGAACAAAAGTCAAATGTTCCTCATTCGAAAACATTAAAATTTTTAAATTAATAACTATAAAAAAACTATTCACAATTGTTCTCCATTATCCAAATTATTGATTTATAACATTTCCTGATTTTTGTTTCTATTAAAGTAAAGAGCTATGAATTTTGTCCCTCAAAAAGAAACATAAGTATTCTGCAAAATTTTATATACTAAATACTTTAAGGATCTATCATTATCCATATATAGTCATGTTAATCTCAAATCTGTTGGTTTCATTTGTTTGAAATCCTATTTTGTTTTATTTATTGATAAATTATAACTTTACTATTCATGTTTTTAATAAATTATCTTATAGGGTTATTTAAAGTTATTTCATGTCATTTTATTTCAGTAATTATTTTAAATAAAATAAGATTTTTCTATTTGATTATAAGAAGCATTAAGGTTTTCTTTATTAGAATATCTGCTTCTTTATTGTATGAGTCATTAGAGTATATTTTAACCTTAACTAGTTTCAAATTCAAAAAAAATTTTTTAACAATATTCAACTTTTTTATCTATAGAGACCAGTTCTTTTCCTTTAACTATTTTTTATATGTTCTTCTGAAATTTACTTTCTTTATTATTTTTTACCTAACAATATAGGTTTGGTTATCTGTAAAAATTTTGATCTTATTGTTTGTTGAAACAACTAGTAATATTGTAACTATTGCTACTAGTTCAGCTCTAATAAATAATAACCAGTCACCTACTTTTATTTGGAACTTACTTTCTTTACTTTCTCTTACTACTTGTATCTATAGTACTTTCATCTTTATTTTTTTACTTTTATAATTGATAAGAGATCTATTAAAACAAAAGACCAATATTTTTTTGGACTATTTATTATATTGAAATATTTCAATTAGGTAATCTTAATATGTTTCTTCTTTTATATTACTTTTAATAATCTATTCTTTCCAATTCTCTATATCTACTTGATTTATTCTACTATTCAGATTGGATTTGTAATCATCTTGAATTGTTTTTCCTATTGTTCTTTCTAGAATTATTTTAGGACTTGAAATATTTGACTACTAAGTTCTTTTTGTTGATTTCTTTGTATTTAGATAGGAAACTTTATATATTCTATTCCTTTTTGTTTCTATTATATATTGACTTTTTATATTTTTACTTTTTGCATATTCTAAATATTTTGTCAAGCTGGTCTCCTAATTCTTTGAGAACTTAGTCACTTAAGATATTCTATTTGTATTACTTACTTAGTATCTTTCAATCTTAACTTTTTCAGATTATTTTTAATACTTATTACTTGTTATTATCCAAAGTATTTGTTTTTTATTATGATTTGGGTTTATCTTTATAATTGTTGATTCTCATTTTAACCAGTCTTCTTTTTAGAATTTTGTGAGTTGTCCTTGTCCTTTTTCTTATATATTTCTTTCTATCACTAGATATCACTTTGAAATATGCCTCTTACTGGTTTTTTTGATTAGTTGGATTATTTGCTATCTTTTTAGTTCTTTAGTTTTTTTTTTTTTTTTTTTTTTTTTTTTTTTAAACCCTCTGTCAGGCTAGGTATGTGTGCTTTATTAAATATATGTATACTTTACATTGAAAATGTATCGCTAAAGCTAAGTCTCTACC